TTTAAGTGAGTTCATAAAATAAAATTGTATTAAGTTAAGCCAGACAGAGAGAGAGAGAGAGATAGGCAGACAATGCAGAGGAATGTGCTGCGTATCCTGCTTATCAGTTCCAGCCGACATGATATAGACTGACCAGTGGTTTTTCCTGTACACTGCTCCAACTCACGCAGTTACTATGCAGTCTTCATGTGAATCAAACATTATGAGGGTCTCTGAATCCCTCTAATTATTTTACCATGGGTCTCAGTATCCCATATTAAATCATCAATTATTGACTCTATTGTTTCAACAGAAGTTTTATTTAACCGTGAGGAACATTCACCAGAAGTTTGTGTGCACACAGTGTTATATTTTATTTTCTCAAGAAGTGTTAATCTCCATTACTTGGTATTAACGAACATTCATTAATTTCTTCTCTTCGAGGTCGTGAGTACATCTCTACACATCATTCCTCTCTGTCTATTCCAATTTGGACTTAAATATCTCATCAAGAGAATAGTTTTGATTTGATTTGTAAAGGGTTAATTTAATTTTGTATCATTATAATATTTTCTGAACTCAAATGAATTTATTATTTTTCCAGTAGGTAGTAACTCACTGTTTAGGCAGATCAATAAACTTGATTTCTACTATATTAACAAATATCTATTGAACCAGCAATTATTCAGTTTGGTAGCAAAGTCAGGAATTTAATTTTTAATTCCCCTTTGTTCAAACATATTGGTCCTTCGAGCCGGATTAACTTAGTCATTTGTTAATAAATAAAAAATTGTAAATTAAAATATCCTTTTAAAGAAACATATTTAAGGTCATTTTTAAATTGTCAAAGTAAGGTTAATTGTATTTGAAGGTTATTGTAGATTACAGTTGAGAATTTGTTTGTTTAAAGGTAGTTATCATATAAAATATTTGGTATTCATTTGATCTTTGATTAAATTAGATATTTAATCGTTAAAACGCTCATACATTTCTCCAGAATTGGATTTGTGGTTTATTGATAATTTTAAGAGTTATTAGGGTTGTTTTGAGAATTTAATCTGAAAATATTTTCTTATGCCAAATAGTTTCTTAACATAAATAAATATTGCTGATTTATATTCTACAACCTTGTTCTATGTGCTACTGTAATATTATATAGGCTACAAGCATTATTGAATAATTTTGCAAATCATGATGTGAATTTTTTTATCTACTTTCATTCTGAATTAGTGGTATTCTTTGTTGATTTTTTTTACTATCTTGAAGTATATAGTACTTGTCATGTTCATACTTTTGTAAAGATTGCTCAAACATTTGTGCCTTTGATTATTTAAATTTTCTCTTGGTATTCAATTTCTGAGGGGAAAATGGATGCAGAAGATTTTAAGCGTAAGGTTTCTGCCTTGAAGCGAAAATTATCAGATAGTGCTAAGGAAGTCCAAACTATTAATGAGAAGGGTAGAGCAGCTCTCAAAGATCCTGCTCAAGTGAACTTATTCAAGGGTATGTTTAAGGTGTTAGAGAAATATTTTTCCAAATTTGAAACTCTTTGGGATGAACTTATTGACCTACATGAAGATGAAGGAAAAGTCTCAGAATTTCCTGTCGAAGCAGATCTGACTATCCAAACTAAGGCCAAACGTTATTACTACGAGGCACACACAAGCTATGAGGCACTTATGGCTCTTGTTCAGACAACATCACCTCCCTCACGCCAAAGCATTAATCCTAATGAATCAGTTATATCATCTGAAAACAGATCAAATAAAATTTTACCTCGGATCAATCTGCCCCACTTCAACGGACAAATTACAAACTGGCCTAAATTCCGTGATGCATTCTTATCAATTATTCATAATGATGCTTTGTTGACTAAAATGGAGAAATTCCATTACCTGGTTTCCTCACTTGTAGGCACAGCTTCTGCAGTTATAAGTAACTTGCCATTAATAGAAGACAATTATGACTTGGCATGGAAGGCATTGAATGACACGTTTAATAATAAACGTATGCTAGCCTCTAACTATTTAAATCAGCTCATCCAGTTTAAGCCACAGCAAGGCAAACCTACCATTGATTCTCTACAGAACTTTGTATCACAAGTTTCAGACAATATTGCAGCATTTAAACTGCTAAAAATTCCAAATGAAGCAGATTTTGTATTGTTTCATATTGCTGTTCGATTATTAGATTCTGCGACCAGAGAACAGTTTGAACTTCAACACAAAGATAAAGATTTTCCTGTCTTTGATGATCTTACAAAATTTCTACGGGAACGATGCCTAGCATTACAGCTCGCCCTTGGAAATTCTCATCAATCCTCACATGACAATAACTCTGCGAAGCCTAGTGGCGCTATTAAAGGATATAATACTAGATCTTCTAGCCGTGGTATGCGAGCTACACTCTTGGCTAACTCACCAGGAAATAACATGCAATCGAAAGATAACAATAAAGGTTTCACATGCTTTCTATGCAACAGTGGTAGTCATACACTCTGGAGATGTAAAGATTTTATGAATGCAACAGTTGATGAGCGACACAAGATGTTAAAAAATTGGCATGGATGTAAAAATTGCTTGTATGCCAACCACACTATAGGAAAGTGTAACTCAAAGTGGACTTGTAAATTTTGCAAGAAGAGACACCACTCGTTACTACATATTCCAACCTCAGCTGATGAAGAACTGAAAGATAATGCTACTAGTGCACCAACTTCGTCTTTGACCGCAACTCTTCCTCAACATAGCAACATATTGCTAGGTACTGTAGTTGCTGAGATAAAAGATGCTTCCGGAAGATTTCAACCCATACGTCTAGTGATAGACTCAGGAAGTCAACATTCCTTCATAACTCACAAATGCCTCACCAAACTTGGTTTATCGACAACACCATATCCAAAGAAGATATCGGCTATTGGCCAGACCATATTTGATGGTGCAAAAGGCAAAGCACTTTGTCATCTGAAGCCAAAAAATCAGGAATCCCCTATCCTCAAAACAGAAGCTGTTGTGATCAACAATATTACTTCATACCTACCCAACTTCACTATGCCTTCTAACTTATGGTCGGAATATACCAAATTTGAACTAGCAGACCCTAAGTTTTGGGAACCTGGACCTATTGAGTTTTTATTGGGCTCTGACTTGTTTCCAGATGTTTGGCTTGGATCTTCGATTACTCTTCATGAAAACCAACCCAAGCTGTTTGCATCAGTCTTTGGCTACATTGCTATTGGGAGAGTTCTTGACTGTCAATCATCCACTAATATGAATGCTTCTTTCTTCACCCTTGCTTATGATAAATATGATATTCATAATCAGCTGCAACGATTTTGGGAACTCGAGGAACCTGCTTCTATCCCAGTCAAAGAAAACCCAGAAGATTTAGCTTGTGAAAAGCATTTTACAGAGACTCACTACAGACTTGAGAGCGGCCAGTACGTTGTTCGCCTACCGTTTAAAAGTGAGCCAAAGCATCTTGGTGACTCTGAAAGAAATTCTCTGAAAAGACTATACAGTCTAGAAACAAAACTGACAAAGAATTCTCTACTTAAGTCTGAATACTGCAATTTCATGAAAGAATACCTTGAACTGGAACACATGAGCCCCACATCATCTACTTCAAAATATGTGATCCCACACCATTCTGTCACTAAAGAAGATCGCTCACAGATTAAGCTCAGAGTAGTATTTGATGCTTCTTCCCTTACTGACTCTAACACGTCTCTAAACAACCATCTTATGATAGGCCCAAAGTTACAGCAAGACATAAAAGGTATCTTGACAAGATTTAGGATGTATCCAGTAGTTTTTGTGGCTGATATAATAAAAATGTACAGGCAGATTTTAGTTCATCCCTCTGATAGGGTATATCAACACATTTTCTGGAGATTTGATCCTTCTGAAGCTATTCAGAAATATGAACTGAATACAGTAACGTATGGTACTACCTCTGCACCTTTTTTAGCCTTGAGAGTCATGAAACAGCTAGCAACCGATGAAGGGACTGACTATCCACATGCAGCAAAGGCTATTCTTAAAGACATGTATGTCGACGATCTTGTCACTGGTGCTTCTACTGTTGATGAAGCCTTGAAACTCAAGGATGAAGTAATCAATCTTTTACACAAAGGTCATTTTGGTCTAAGTAAATGGGCCAGTAACTCTCAGGAAATTTTAAATGCAATCAATCCTTCAAAACATATCAAACAGATCAACCTCTCATCTAGTGAAGATTCAAATGTCAAGATCCTAGGACTTCAATGGAACCCTTCAAGCGACACGTTTGCATACCAGATTGAACAATTTACCCCTGTGTTTACTAAAAGGGCCATCCTATCAGCTGTTGCAAAGATTTTTGATCCTCTAGGATTCGTTTCTCCTGTGATAATGATTGCAAAGAGCATAATACAAAGCCTATGGAAATTGAAGCTGGGCTGGGATTCGGAAATCCCAACTAACTTGAAGACTCTATGGAATGACTTGACTACTCAGCTAGAGAACCTGCAACATCTTAGTATTCCAAGATTTGTAACATCTGACAAACCATACAAATTGCAAATAGTAGGATTTGCTGATGCTTCAGAAAAATGATATTGTGCTGCACTGTATCTGAGAGTTATTAGTGACAAAATAATTACAAACCTTCTAACAGCCAAAACTAAGTTAGCCCCAATCAAGACACTGTCTATCCCACGCTTAGAGTTGTGTGGAGCCTACCTGCTTGCAACAATATTCCACTCTGTTATGGAAACCCTCAGCCAATTTGCCAGTAATCAGTTTCAGAAGCCTATTTTCTTCACTGATTCTTCAATTGTCTTAGGATGGCTGAATACACCAACTTACAAGCTTAAAGTTTTTGTAGCAAACAGAGTTGCACATATCTCAGAACATACTCCTGTTTCATCGTGGAGACATATTAAATTAGAGGAAAATCCAAGTGACCATGGTTCTAGAGGACTTTTACCAGATAAACTAACTAACTGTGATCTATGGTGGCATGGCCCTAAGTGGATGAATATGCCTGAAGATAAATGGCCAGAGTCTACAGTACAGTTCCAGCAGCAGCCCCTACCTGAAGTGAAAGCTGAACCACAAGTGCTTGTCTCAAATAGTACTGAGCCAGAGCTTATCAAGATGATGGAAAACTATTCTTCATACTACAAACTTCTACGTGTAATATCTTGGATCAGAAGATTTATCTACAATTGTCAAGCTAAACTACACAGTACTAGTCGTCTTAAAGGACCCCTTCAGCCTAAGGAAATTCAAGAGTCCTTACTATCCTGCATCAAGAAAATTCAATCACACTTTTTCTCTATTGATGGCGACAGAAGATGTGCAACTGCTGTCCTCAATAAGTTTCATAAACTTACCCCTTTCTTTGACAAACTGGGGATACTCAGGGTGGGCGGCAGGCTAAATAATGCAGCTATCCCAGAAGATCAAAGACACCCAATCCTTCTGCCAAAGTGTCATTTCACCTTATTGTTGGTAGATTATTACCATAAAATCTACCTACACCCAGGACCCAACTTGCTTCAAGCTCTGATTCAATTACGATTTTGGATACCATCACTGAGAAATATTGTCCGTCAGCGAACCTTCAAATGTCTAAGGTGCTTCAAGCTAAAGGCTGAAACCTTTTCCCCGATGATGGCTGATCTTCCTTCGCCACGAGTGAATGTAAGCCGAGCATTTTTACATGTTGGTGTTGACTTTGCTGGACCTTTGACTATGAGAGAGTCGTTAAGAAGAAAAGCAACCACTGCCAAGACTTACATCTGTGTTTTTGTCTGCATGGCAACTAAAGCTTTGCATTTAGAGCTGGTAACCGCACTCTCAACAGATGCCTTTATGGCTGCTTTCAGACGTTTTATTTCTAGAAGAGGTCTTCCTGAACAAGTGTATTCCGACTGTGGAACAAACTTCAGAGGAGCAGCTAATCGTCTTCGAGAGTTAGGAATATGGTACTCCAATCAGACTACACAAGAAGAAATTCTACAGCAAACTACTAAACTGGAAGTAAAATGGAATTTCAATCCTCCCTACTCCCCACACTTTGGTGGACTGTGGGAGTCCGCAGTGAAATCAGCCAAGACGCATTTGAGGAAGATAGCTGGAGAAACTGCTTTGACTTATGAAGAGTGGTCAACCTTGCTCACCCAAGTAGAAGCAGTTCTGAATTCAAGACCACTTTGTCCTTTGTCAGCTAGTCCAGAAGAAACTAATTTTCTTTCTCCAGGACACTTTCTTGTTGGATGCCCTCTTGTTGCTCCTCCCGAACCTTCTCTTCTTGATCTTCGAGAAAACGTCCTTACAAGATGGCAACTAGTCCACAAGATGGTTCAACATTTTTGGAAGAGGTGGCGAGTGGAATACTTGAACATCCTGCAAGTGAGAGGAAAATGGACAAGATCTTCTACAAACCCTAAAATCGGAGACTTGGTTCTTCTTAAGGATCAAAATGGACCTGTCTTGCAGTGGCCTCTTGGAAGAATCATCAAGACTCACCCAGGCCGTGATGGAATTGTTCGAGTGATGACTGTCAAGACCAGTGACTCTGAATTCCAACGTCCAGCTGTGAAATTGGTACCTCTTCTTTCAATCAATTCTGACCCTTTTAAGTAAGATGCTAGAAATTTCCTTTGAAATTTCGGTGGGCGGTATGTTTGAGCATTCTCAAATTAGGTCTAAACTTAAATTTATTTTAAATAAAATAATACTTGTTTTGTCATTTAAATAATAGATATTTAAATGTTTTGTGTGTAAATAAATCACTGCACTTTTTGGTTCAATTCAGAATAATATTTTAAGTGAGTTCATAAAATAAAATTGTATTAAGTTAAGCCAGACAGAGAGAGAGAGAGAGATAGGCAGACAATGCAGAGGAATGTGCTGCGTATCCTGCTTATCAGTTCCAGCCGACATGATATAGACTGACCAGTGGTTTTTCCTGTACACTGCTCCAACTCACGCAGTTACTATGCAGTCTTCATGTGAATCAAACATTATGAGGGTCTCTGAATCCCTCTAATTATTTTACCATGGGTCTCAGTATCCCATATTAAATCATCAATTATTGACTCTATTGTTTCAACAGAAGTTTTATTTAACCGTGAGGAACATTCACCAGAAGTTTGTGTGCACACAGTGTTATATTTTATTTTCTCAAGAAGTGTTAATCTCCATTACTTGGTATTAACGAACATTCATTAATTTCTTCTCTTCGAGGTCGTGAGTACATCTCTACACATCATTCCTCTCTGTCTATTCCAATTTGGACTTAAATATCTCATCAAGAGAATAGTTTTGATTTGATTTGTAAAGGGTTAATTTAATTTTGTATCATTATAATATTTTCTGAACTCAAATGAATTTATTATTTTTCCAGTAGGTAGTAACTCACTGTTTAGGCAGATCAATAAACTTGATTTCTACTATATTAACAAATATCTATTGAACCAGCAATTATTCAGTTTGGTAGCAAAGTCAGGAATTTAATTTTTAATTCCCCTTTGTTCAAACAACTGGAATGGCTGACTGTATATCAGCTGTCATACACACAACATGTGTCACAAACAGAACTGTGATAGTTTCAACCAACTATTGCTCAATTAGTCTCTTGTGAATTAATGTTTCATGCTTAGTTTAAAATGATAAGATCTTAAATGGCTAATTTTCTATCAATTGATTTTCACCACTTTTTTGTTCATCTATATATATGATATGGTCGCTGGGGTTATAAAGCTTGGTGAATTTTAATAACAATTTCTCTTTTTGAAATCACACTCATCTATACAAAACAATGACGATATTCAAAAAAAATTAGTGTTTGCCTACCCATATTTACCCATATTTCTTTGATCAATAGTAATTTTACTATAAAGTGCAACAAAATAAGATTTCAGAAAAAAATTGCATAAACTATTTATATCAGAACAAATTATATGAGTAATTATCTGTTAGATAAATAATAAGAATAACAAAAGTACTTCCAGCATCGAGTTAATAATGTCTTGTGAATGTAAAACTAATAAAAACTAATTAAAACGTTTTCTTAGTACATTTTACAACACGTGTCACTTTCCACTTATTTATAATTTAGTATCTGGGTGCGGGTTATCATCAAGATAATACACATATATTACACATAGAGCATAAACAATAAAAGGTGGAATTTTTGGCACTCATTGATTTAACACTTCTCTTAAATTAACACTACTTTTAGAAGAACTCGTAAGACCGGGGTGAAATAAGAAGTCGCATTAGGTGTGAAGCCGGTGTAGGTGGTGGGCAACTAAAGGCCGAAGAGAAGGATCATACCGGACAGGTAGGGGGTAGGACGCTATCGGTGATTGGTTCAATGGTTAACCAACGGTATTAATTTATTCAACTGAATTGTCCGATACATCACTGTTATAAAATGTTATAAATCAATATGCATATATCACTAAATGAACGGTGCACATGTTAAAGACACTCTATATAGGTACGGGTAGACATTTGAAATGTATTTCTTACAACTCACTTTCTCCATATTAATTCAAGGTTATGAGTAATCTGCTTGGTTTTCGTTCGACAACGCTTGGATTTTTTCTTTAGCCAGAACTAAACCACAAGTTACTTTAAAGAAATAAAATGTCCGTATTTCTTGCTACCCTTATCAACAAAGGCTCTCATAATTATTTTTTTTAAATGTTTAGAAACTATTTAAATGTTTTTTGTCAAGTAAATATGTTTTATAATTTATATAACAACGTTTTTCAAAGTTATTAAAGCTAGTAGATGACCAAATTTAACAATAAGATCGCTGTATTGATAATATTGCAATAGATTTTCGATACATAAATCTAAGTATTAAAACCACGTTTCTTTTAAGATAAGTATACAAAATTCCTTTTGACTGTACTGTAAGGGCTTTGAAGAAACGTGTTTGGCAAATTGAAAATTTCACGCTGTGACAAAATGGAAATCCTATTGCAAATGAGTAGATTTTAGGGATTGATGAAAACGTTTATCTTATTTTCTTAGAAGCTTAAAATATGTAAATCAGAAGGGCAGAAGATCTTCAGTAAAATACAACCTAGTTAAAAGGCTTAAGCTTTTTATTTGTTAAGTGGAGCGAGCGAAGCTACACTCGTGCTTTTGTTTTACACATACTGAAGAAATTTAGCACAGTCATAGTAACTAACTTTGGAAAGGTATATAATATCTTAAATAGTACAGATCGGACTATTGGGTTATTCTCATCGTGAATTTAAATTTTTATAAATCCAACATGTGCCTTCTGTGTTTATTGGTCTCCATGAAATTTTACGCAAGGGATATGAAAAAGTTAAGTCGTAAAATATGTAAGTTAATGAATCATCTAAACTTGCACATACAAATTACAGAACTAAACGGAAAAACTATGGGATTAATAACGTTGAGCATAATTTACTATAAAATGAATAACCATTTAGGGTCACCGGAATTACGCTAATGCACAATTGACTCTAGATAGGTACTCCAAATAGCCATTACATGTGAACCAAATGTATCACTGACTTTGGATATTATGAATAGGCATTCCATATAATATGTGCAACAAAGATGCTATTGGCTTTAGTAGGGATCTTATTTACAAGAAACAGATGATGCTTTGTTTTTTTTTTTAAAATGCAATTACACATCTAATTTACTTTAACCGAATGTAGCATTGATTTGAAAGTATTGGATTAATTAGCTAGCTCCGTTCAATATTGCAAGCTGACAACCACATTGTACACCTAATTAGTTCGTTGGTTGTATCGCTTATTAATCACTGTGACGTGATAGGCACAATGTTCTTTAGTCGAACAGTATATCCTTCCACCAATTTTTTTAAACTTGTATTATATAGTTATTGTGTAATTACAAGATTATTTAATGTTTTGTTTAATACTGTACAGTCCATACAAAATAATCATATATTTAGAAACGAGAATCGATTCCTAATGAGGGATTTAAAGACTTTCTTAAACTATAAAATACAGTTTACGACTATACAGGTAAGCATTACATTTGATATTTGTGTCCATGTGTAGGTTGTGTAAGATATATCAAGATAGCAAGGTACACTAGAAATTTACAAATACTTTTCAAACGAAAATTAAGTGGTTTTTTACGAACCATTGTTTGCCGTTAGGAAGGATTTATAGGTCTGTTTATATGCATCATAACAAGGTATTTTATCACCTTGGGTGAAAATTTGAGATTGTAATAAGTTTCTTCATCGTAAGATAACAAAGCACTAAAATCAATATATAGTAGATCGGAAAATTCCTATAACATCCTGGTGCCAAATTAAATACAAACTTCTTTAAAATACCAAGAAATATTTATTTCCGCAAGAAAATTACCATTACATTACTACACATGAAATTGACGATTAAATATTGGTTAAATGGCGAATAAAAGGCTTAAATTCGACTAAAAGGAGCTACTCTAATTTTAAAACATGCAGAACTGTAATGGATTGCTTTGTGTTTATTTAATAACCAAAGTTGAGCATTTGCGGCCTAAGGGACCAATTAAATTAATCGCCCACAAAGTAACTCTAGTTCATAGTTAGCAGGTGCGTTTTGTTTAATATTTTGTGGGCTTTAAAAAGAGAACTTTAAATATTTATCTGTCAACTCTGGCCAGTCACTATCAGTTGGATAACTTGCAATAAAATGTGTTATAAAATTAAGACAATATTACTATAAATGCCCACTTCTGTTATGTGTGATTAAATGTACTATCAATTTTTTTGTATATCTTACATGATAAGGACAGTAAACGAGGGAGAAAGAATATAACCCTAGGGAAAACATGCATTAAAATATTGTGTGGTCATGGTGATTTCATCAAAAAATTTTTGGTAGGAATTAGAAATTTAAATGTGGAAAAAGATGCAGCAATTAATTTATAAATTGAATCCTCACATGGTGGAAGCTCTTCATTACATCGCATTGTTAACTGTTCGAATATGCATGAGGACAACGAGCTATTTCCACCAGGAAATGATCCCCAAGTTATATTGTGCTTAATAAAGCACATTGTATGCAAGCGTTTATGTGTGTTATGAGAGATTGATTTCTACAAAGTCATAAACAATGTCAAATTACTTTAAAAAATATTCACATAATCATATAAAATAATTTTAGAATCTACTTTGTTTCAATTGACATGTCTAAAATGACATAGGCACTTTGAGGGTAATCATTGAAATACTTTTAATACGGGAGTAATGTCCATTAAATATATACTAGAGGTCATCTAGTTGTCGAAAGCTCGACCAAATATATGTAATGACTTCTCTATTTTCCCCCTACCCTGTAATTAAAACGTGTGATTGGAGTTTCTTCCATTAATTTTGATTTTATGTTTGTATTTCATTGTTTTCGTCACCAGCATGGCAACCTATCAGGCCCCTGTTAGTATTTTTTGTTATTTTTTTCCTATTTTGATTTATAATGAGATTTAGCACATGTACAGGAAAATATCTTTCTAACATGATGCGTCGATTTTCCCTGCGATGCACACGAGCTGAGAAAAAATTTTTCAAGAAACATGCTTGCCTTTTAATTTATATATAAAAGTAATGACACATACACATACAACTA